TATGTATTTCTGTGCAGTTTTATCACGGGTGCAAATGTTTGTAACTGTCATAACCAAGATACAGAACTATCCCATGAACACAAAGAAAATCCCTGTTGCTTTATAGTCACACACTGCCCCATCCCTAACCTTAGCAACTGCTGATCTGTTGTTTATACATTATATTTAACTGTTGTTAATCTGTTTTACCTACCAAAGTGTGCATTCAGTGAGAAGAAACAGAAAATCTGTCTTCTTCACCATTGTGTCCACAACAGAGTAAGGCATGGGTTTTAGATGCTCAATTAATTGTCTTCAATAATTGAATTGTGAGGATTGACTTTTAATCCTAATGCCCTGATAACTCAAAAATTTTAGATGAGATTTATTAGAAGATATCCTGGGAAAAAATCCAAGAAATAAAGGAAATTGTTGGAGATTGAGAAATCAGATTGTGTGTGCATGCACACAGATGTATGTGCACATGTGCTCCCACCCAATTTAATGTCTTTGGATGTTCTATTGAGGATAGATTCTTCATTTATTTTATTTTATTTTTTTTCCCGAGATGGAGTCTTGCTTTGTCACCCAGGCCGGAGTGCAGTGGCAAGATCTCAGCTCACTGTAACCTGTGCCTCCTGGGTTCAAGTGCTTCTTTTGCCTCAGCCTCCCATGTAGCTGGGATTACAGGTGCACACCACCATGCCTGCCTAATTTTTATATTTATAGTTGAGATAGGATTTTACCATGTTGGCCAGGCTTTTCTTAAACTCCTGAGCTGAAGCAATCCACCTGCCTTGGCTTCCCAAAGTGCTGGGATTCCAGGTGTGAGCCATGCCTGTCCCCTTCATTTACTTTAATAAAATTTGGGGTTATTTATCCATTGTAAATGCACCAAGAAAAAAAGAAAAAGAAAGAATGAAAACCTTTGTTGTCATATAGCTTTATGGTCTGTCCTCAATAGAACATCCAAAAATAAAAATCCAAAGTAATTATTTTTAAATGAAAATTTACCATTACCTTTGTGTAAGTTTCATGTATGTTTTATTTACTACAATATCCTGGCACATGATAGTCATTTTATAAACGTTTGTTAAATAATGAATGCCTAACCATTAAATACTTCATTAAACAACATTAAATTGTTTAAAAGTATATAACTCATTAAGGTTCCATAATGGTTCATTTGTATATTTTTAAAGCTTAAGTAGGAAAGGAAAAATTAAGTTAGTATTGATTTGGAGCTGCCATTGAGTTTCTTTTGTGAAAAACACTTCACCCAGTCTGACAAAAACTCAGAGTCAGCTAGGCTGTGAGAGTAAAATTACTTGCCTTTGGTCACCCAGTTAGTAAGTAAACCTAGTCAGTTTTGCCTTTGTCTGTCCTCTGCTCCATTCTCTTTTGCATGCTATCAAGGACATTTGGGTCCAGTTGATAAATTTGTGTAAGTGTTAGAATATTCAAAAGAGACCAAAATGAAACACAAAATCTCATGTGGTAGCCAGAGCATAGAGTTGACATATGCAATACATTATGGAATAATTTAGGATTAATACTTTCTATTAGAAAATGTGAACTAGATGCAAGGGTATATGAGAGGTGGTTCCTGCCTATTAGTCTTCATTCTGTTAGAGAATGACTGAACTGTGGAAGAGTTCACAAGTTGTAGGTACAAACTGAAGCTGGAGTTTTAGGGGCTGGTAGATCTGGATTTTGAATCCTGATTTAATACTAGCTTAACACAAAGTTAAATTTCCTGATCTTTATATGTAACAGGACTAATAAACTCCACCTTGAAAAATTAGTGTAAAGATTAGAAATATATGTAAAATGCTTAGCGTAGTAACTGGCACCTGGTAGATACTCCTGAAGTAGAGTTATTATCTACTGCTATCATTTTGATCATTCAGGCTTTTTCTGAGGCTATAAAATGGGGGTGATAATAGTACCCACCTCAAGTGATGCTCTGATGATTAAATGAGATATTACATATAAATCTACTTGACAGAGAGCTGATTATATATACTTTATAGGAACTTAAATGCTTGATAAATTTGGTTTCACAAATGATAGCAATTCTGATGGGAGTTAGTGGAAGAGAGGTAGTCAAGAAGTGTTTTCTAAGTGAAATGAACCAATTGTGTACATAATTCTGAGTCTTGAAGCCCAGCCTCAGGATGTGACCATGCTCAGTGGCTTGAGAAAACACTGTCTAGAGCCTAGATAACAGGGAGCATTGAGACACTGAATAGGATTTACTTTCTCTCTGGCAGCAGAGGAGCTGCTTTGGGGTCTGAGGTAAGGACGCGGGTCTGTGGTGATGCCTTATTCTATCTTGGAACTATACTCTTTGCAGAATACTTTGATCACATCATGCCACAAATAGATTTCAGGCTGTGATCATATGGCTCTGATAATCAAGATCAAAGCTGTAGGAAAAACAACTCTCAGAACTTTGAAAACGTTCTCATAAATGAGATTTTTTTTACAAAGATTATTAAATTATAATTTGCTTTTTTCATTTTTGTAATATGAATTTTGTTTTGATTATGAAATATAGCATTTGATTGTTTTTTCTACCTGTGAATCTTGTTTAAAAATTATGGCAATTAATCTTCAAGATCAATTGAATTTCATAATGGTTCATTTTTCTCGACATGCAATTAGTGGTCTGCAGTAGTTCCTCTAAAATCTGCATCAGACAACTAAAAGCCACTGAATGTTTTTATCAGAGTAGCTATGGTATTTTTCTGCCTATCTAAATACCTATCTTGGTTTAATTCTTTTGCCTTTATTTTGGGCTCAATAATAAACCTACTTATGATGCAAAACGTAGCTTTTAGATTTAGACTTTTGTAGAAACAAGAGTCAGTTGTAGTTAAACAGGTGGTTCTAGACCTAAGGCTTTTACTTAATTGAATGGATTAATTCAGTTCCAGTTGGTAAGTCTAAAGTGCCTGCTATGTGGAAGGAGTAGAAACTGTTATTCCTTGTAAAGGATGGAAAATTTATATACGGAGGTACCCACCCTCCAGTTTGATGACTCTTCATTCGTCTACTCATTCATTCAATAAATATTTATCGAGCATCCAGATCTAGATGCTAATGCAGAAAATAAGCAAAATTTTGAGATGGAATGGTGTTTAGATCAGAAATAGCACATAGTTGTCCAAGCTAAGTGAGGGAACATTTTTCCTACTTTAAGAGAGAAGAATGAGTAGATGCTTACACTTTTTTTTAATGCCTATCAGGTTATAAATTCCTGGCAGGTTAAAGAGAGTATGCCCGTCTGATGTCTTTTTTTTCTGTAACAAAGAGATGTGGCAAGCTTACTGGAGGAAATATGAAATCAGTGATTGTAGAGCTTCCTAGGCAAGTACTGTTCAATTTCCAGACCATTTTAACTGTCCATTTGAGATTTGTCTTCTTCATAAATTGAAAGTGGAGTTTATGCTATAATTTCTCTAGCTACTCATCTAAGCATGAAGAGGGTGAATGGGTAAGTTCAACATGGCTTGCATTTACCAAGCAATTCAAACAGAGGGATAACAGTAGATAGGGGAGTTAGGTGTCTTTGCCAGGGACGGTCATAATGAGGAACCATCCAGTATGAAGTAGATAAAGATTGGTGTGGAGTGAGAGGTGAGTTAACTGGGGATGGAACTCTTTTAACAAATGAGCTAGCTTGGTAAGAGGCAATCATTGAAGAACAGGATGTTTGAAAATTTTTTTAGGGCAGAAGTCAAGACATTTTGTTTTGTTTTGTTTTTTGTTTTTTGTTTTTGAGATGGGGTTTCACTCTTGTTACCCAGGCTGGAGTGCAATGGCGCAATCTCGGCTCACCGCAACCTCCGCCTCCTTGGCTCAGGCAGTTCTCCTGCCTCAGTCTCCTGAGTAGCTGGGATTACAGGCACGCGCCACCATGCCCAGCTAATTTTTTGTATTTTTAGTAGAGACGGGGTTTCACCATGTTGACCAGGATGGTCTCGATCTCTTGACCTTGTGATCCACCCACCTCGGCCTCCCAAAGTGCTGGGATTACAGGCGTGAGCCACCACGCCTGGCCAAGACATTTTTTATGTAAAGGACCAGAATAAATGTTTTCGACTTTGAGGAATGAGACAAAATGGAGGGTATTATAAAAGTACTTATAGAACAGGAGAGAAGACAAATTTCCACCAATTTTTGCCTTGATAAAATTCATAATATAATAATAAAGGGTAGTTTTTTGTAACAGGTGTGCTACTGAAGAGAATGGGATGCCTTTTGCAGGAGGGGTGGATAACATTTTATGTGAGGTTCAAAATGGGTACTCTCTTTCATCAAAATCAGTTGCCGATTTTAGTTTCTTCAGGATAATCTACAAGGAGATTTTATTCATTTCATCTTTGAAAATGTCTTCACAGGGACAGGTACTTGAAAGTGTTGATATCAGTCTATCAGCTTCTAAAATTGAGTTTATTCATTGTTTAGAAGACATTTAAAGAATTCTATTAGTCTTCTCTTTTTACCTTAGACTTTGTTTGTATTACTTTGCAGATTAATCACTTAAAATTGATAGTTAGATGGAAGCACCTCAGTTGTACAGTTAAATGGATTTTTGAAATATGTAATTCCTTTGCTTTTTCATTAGAGTCCAAAATATGCTGCTGGAACTGCAGTTTGAGGTCAGAAAATAAATCTGCTGCAAATTTTCATAGAAATGGAGATTTCCCTTGTTTTCACTTTTGAAAGCATGGGAAGGGTTTAGAGCAGCTGAAGGTTATTATGATTCAGACTGTATTCATTGTTTCTTAATATTCCATTTCAGTGGTCATAGATTATATGAGATTTTCTTAATAAGAGACTGTTTTGTTTCTTTAATTATTTTTTGATATAACTCATGTTTATATCTTTAACATCTAGCATAATTACTGACACAATATAAAGTATATGAAAGGTACTCAGAAAATATTTATTGAATGCATATATATAATATTTTTCTTTTAAAACTGTTGTTTTTCCCATTCCTTCTGTTATAGGTGAAGAGTGATTATATGTTAGAGATAGCTGATCAAGTGGACCAGGACATTGCTTTGAAGTTGGGTTGTCTAGAAATACGGTAAGATAACTATACATTGAGACCTTTATTTATCAGTGTTTTTTTTATTATTTTTGAATAGTTTTCAGGTATTTACCTTTTCTTTATAAGGATTATCAGTAAAATACGGAATAAAATTTGAGAAAATTATGAATTACTAGGTTGATGCAAAAGTAATTGCAGTTTTTGCTCTTAGTATTTATTTATTATTCAGATGCCTCTCCCCCAGTTTTTAATCATTTAACAGCTTAAACATTCCTTATATATACACATATAAATTTGTGTCTTCTTGATTTTAGGCGATCATACTGGGAGATGCGGGGCAATGCACTAGAAAAGAAGTCTAACTATGAAGTATTAGAGTAAGTATTACACATCTAAGCTATACCTGCAAATATGCAGAGCTTAAATTATTACTTAGTTTATGTTCACTTAAATACTGATTCTGAAACACTGTTTCATCTGGAAGAGGAACAGAATCCTCCATGACGTTAATTGTGTTAGTAAACATTTAGATTTGTTGATCGATGTCTTAAAGCTAATATTTAGTATGGCCTGTTAACATACATAATACACCTTTTGTCTGTGTAGATTTAATTATAGCAAGATGATATTTCCTTTCTAATTTATATTGAATTTAACAGCTGCTTATAAATTGCTTATAAATTATTATTCATATTCTCTGTATAAGTTACTACAGATTGTTTTCCGCAATTGGAGATAACAGGATTTACTGCTCATGTATCAGAAAATCTCACTAGAAATTTTTCCAATAATGAAATTAATTTGTGTATTAGACTGTTACATTAGATTTTATTAAATTAACCCAACCTGGAGTTTATGTCTTGGGAGGCTAGAAGCCCTATACTTCATTTTTTTCATAATTAATTTAGGAAAAGATAATTGAGCACTGAGTCCTTTATAGCTAAGTGCTGGAGATTCAGAAATAATACAAAATTTTAACCCCCAGGAAGCATTCTGCTAGAAGGAAGATTCTCAGCCAAGTAAGCAAAATTATAAAATAATGTGGTAGAAACTAAAATGGAAGTATCAGTTGGGTGTTTGCAGAAGAATGATACTTGATGTATGAGGTGTTTTCGCATGGAGATGTTATTTAACCTAAGTCTTAAAGAATGAGCGATTTCACCAAGTGTGGTTATGTGGGATTTGTTCCCTGGGAGCCAGGAAGCCAGTCAGGAGGATAAATCAGCATTTGCAAAGGCACAGAAACATGGGCCATCAGGCAAAGGTTAGAAAACTCTTAAGTTGGTTGGAGATAGAATACCATTCTTAGGAGGGAAAGAGGGATATGTATACAGGGGCCAGGTCATTACCTATCTTCAAAGGATCTGGACTTGGCCTGCTGACTCATCGTTTTAAGCAGGACAATTATGATGAGATTCACAATTTAGAATTCCATATTTGTGAGATTAGAATTTTATTAAAGAAGATTAAAAACGGAAGCAGGGAGCCAGGAAGCTGTTGCACTTTTCTTGTCCGTGTGAGAATGATGAGGCTGTGAGACAGAAGGAAGCAGTGGCCATGGAGACAGGGCTAGTAGAGTCAGTTGCGTGACTGGAGGCTGAATCAAGGACAGGAGGAACCCAAGGAATCTCTTGGTTTTCTGTCATGGACCACTATGGATACCAGTCACAGAAAAGAAGTGTGCTTGAGGGGAAAGAAGACAAGTTATTTAGAGCATGTTGATCTTTAGTTCTATGGGAACATTCATGTTTTTTAAAATGAAAAGGGAAAGAGTAATGTTGGTTTATTTCATCTGTTATAAAATCACTAATACCAGCAGCATTAAAATAAAAATCTCTTATGGTACCCTTTGCTTGGATCTTGGTTTCTAGTACTATTCTTCAGTGAAAGGAACCAGAGCTCCTTGGAAAAATGCAGTTGTAAGGAGCCGAGAAAAAATACAAGAATGAGCCCTAGAGCAGCTTGTAGTACCAGAAAGAAGTGCTCAAAAAACAAAATGAGGGCCTGCATCAAAGGATGAATGAGCCAGTGGAGAGAGTTCCCAGTAACAAAAGCTGGAACAATTAGAGCAACAAATTAAGTTGCATAGCATTAGATTGTAACCCAAAGCATAAATTAAATATCCGTGAGTCCATAGTAGTATGAATACTTGAATAAATAAATACTTAAAGGAGCAGTAACAAATTTCCTCTACAGAAAAATTTCAAATAATTTATATAGATAACCCTCTCTCAGAGGAGCTGGAGCGTAAAACTCACTTGTAACATATGAGCTACACTTAGTGGCTTGTTTCTAAAGAGTATAATAAGGAAAGGCTATGTGGGAAAAAGTGTAACGTTAGAATGAAGAAACCTGACAGGCGTGACCTTGGCCAGTTGATCAAAGGCAACATGGACAGTAATCAATCATGTTGATAGTGTGCAACCATGAGGTAATGTGTTGAGAAGGGCACTTTACCTCTGTGGCCTTCATCATAACAAAAAAACCTTTAACCTCAGTGTAATCATGAGAAAAAACATCAGACAAATCCCACTTGAGAGACATTTTACAAAGTACTTAAGCAGTACTCCTCAAAACTGTCAAGGTTATGAAGGAAACAATGGAAGTCAGAGAAACTCACATATCCAGGAGTAGCCTAAAGAAACATGATGATTATATGTAATGCAGTGTCCTCCATAAGATCTTGGAACAGAAAAAGGATTGGTAAAAACTGATGAAATCTGTGTAAATTACAGAGTTTGTTAATTTTAATATATCAATACTAGTTTATTACTTGTGACAAATGTACCAAAGTAATGCAATATATTAATAGTAGGGAGATCTAGGTATGGACTCTACAGGATACTCTGTTACTTTTTGTAAATCTAAAACTATTGTAAAATAAAAGGCCTACCTTAAAAAAAAAAAAAAACCTGATTGGAGAATTGAGGTCAGCAAGTAGTTAGAAATGATCTAAAAAGGTACAATAGATGGCGAATAGTTACGTGAAGTCAAGAAAGAAATGCTAGTTCATGGCCTGGCTGAGTTACAAGGAGAGAACTCCAGAAACACATGTGATCATCTTTTAGGGTCACTATGGAAGCCTACCCTAGTGTAGTAGTTGGGGGAAAAGAAGGATGTGAATTGTATTCTACCCTGTCTCTGTGTGAGGCCAAGATAGGAAAATGAAAGGTAACTGAAAGATAAGAGTCTGTGTGAGAACCAGAGGTATACAAAGGACCGAAGAGAGCCAGACATGCTGTCAAAAGGATACAGAGTTACATGAAGAGAGATGCTTGAAAGAAATTTTCATGAATAATGCATTGCCATGTTTTTAACAACCACCGAGGCAGGTGGATCACAAGGTCAAGAGATCGAGACCATCCTGGTCAACATGGTGAAACCCTGTCTCTACTAAAAATACAAAAAATTAGCTGGGCATGGTGGCACGTGCCTGTAATCCCAGCTACTTTGGAGGCTGAGGCAGGAGAATTGCCTGAACCCAGGAGGCGGAGGTTGCGGTGAGCCGAGATCGCGCCATTGCACTCCAGCCTGGGTAACAAGAGCGAAACTCCGTCTCAAAAAAAAAAAAAAAAAAAAAAGAAAAGAAAATGAAGAAGCAGATTATCTGTCAACATGAATTAGTGAATGGTATGTTTGGAGAGAGGAATTTTAAGTTAAAGTTTGAAACGAGAGTCAAATTTTGCACTTAAGTTAGTGTAAATGTGGCTTATTTCTAGAAAGTACAGAACTTTAGATGATCAGAGAATAGATGAATAGGAGAGGACAAATTAGGGCATTAACCAGTGCCTTTAAAACCTTAGTTTTTCTCGGAGTTAGTGAAATGGAGAATATGAGAATTGCTATACAATAAGGGCTTGTGATTATTATTACTTTAAAAACAAGAACTAGGCGCAGCATGAATTTATAAATTAGATCCTTCTTAGAGGATTGTGTGGGAAGTTTAAAGATCTATTGTTTGGAAATATCTGTTTCATCTTAGTTAATTTATATGTGTGATATTTAAAGTAAGTAAATACGATAGTTAAAGATGAATCTTTAGGTTCGTAGAGTTCTAGGTTCCTATAGTTCTGAGATATTATCTTGCTCATTTTGCTGTATCCTCTTTCTGTATTCCTATGCTTCTGCTCCACTGTAGTAATTCTTTACAGTTATACAACTTGTATGAATTCAGTACCCTATCTTCATATAAGTAGATTAATTGAGTGACCTCTTGAAGCAGAATATCTGGGTTCGATCCCACCTTGACTGTTCTGTTTGCTAAGTTTTATTAGTAAGCCCTTGGTGTCCGCTTCCAAACATCTGTAAAGTGGGGATAATGGTGATACCTGCTTATATATGGGATTGTTGTAAGGAGTTAGATAAGATACTAAGTATCAACTCTTGACATGAGTTGATAATTCATGTCAAGAGCTTAATACCTATTGCACTCAACACTGAGTGAATGTGGACTACAATTACAGTTATTATCCATGGGAGATACTGTCAGGATAAAAACTAAACTGTAGAGTTTCTTTAGAGCATTAAGAAAAAATAATAGGAAACAATATCATTGTTCATCTGTTGATTTAATTTTGACCCCTTTTAAAATGATTTTTATTTGTTTTCAAAGGTAATACATTCTAGTTAGAGAAAAAATTGAAACTACACTGTCAAATAAGAAAAATTCTTCAACTCCTCTCATTTACTGTTAACCGCCATCATAGTCTTAATAAATATCTTTATAACTGTGTTTCAACACTTGTGTGCACGTAAATGCGTAGTTTTAATAAGAGTAGAATGATCCTATATGCATCTTGCTTTTTTTTTACTCAACTTTATGTTTACTAGATCTTTCCGTATGACTAAATAGAAATAAACATTAGTATACTAGTCCACCCAATGAGTTTCTAATACTACATTTAGACAGCCACGTAATAGGGGACATTCAGTTCAGGTTAATAACAATATAAGGCATGGGACCATTTTCTGTTGTTCATTTTCAGCTGTATGATTGGCAGCAGATGATTGCTTGCTTTATTTATATTAGTTTAATTACTGGTAATATTAAACCTCTTTGCATATGTGGCCATTTTTAATTCCTTTTGTAAAGTAATTGTTTTAAATGAGCTTTTCTAATACGTTTGTTTTTTCTTTATTAATCTTAAGAATTCTTTGTTATGTTAACACTACCTTGTAACATTAGTTCTGTATTTTCTTTTCCAGCTTGTCATTGTCTTTCAACTATGTATATATGGCTCTCATCATACAGGAGTTTATCTTTCTTTAATGTAGTAAAATAATATTTTCATTTTGGTTTTTGAGTTTTAAGACCCAGTTTTTAAAAAGGCATACCAGCACTTAAGGTTGTTAAATGTTTGTTTTGAAACTTTTATGT